GAACCCAGGTCTCCAGCACTGCAGGCACATAATTTACTGTCTGAGCCACCTGGTAGGCCTTAATACCAAGCTGTAAATTGAATGATCAAGTTTGGGGAGTTCATGACTGCCAAGCAGGCACACAGAACAGCACCGCTTCCATCCAGACTGCTTCAGCAGTCTAGACAGAGCTGATGAAACAACACAGTGTCAGGCAGTGTCTCTGTTCATTTCTCCCTTCATTTCTTCAAGTGAATCATAAAACAATCACAGGATTGGCAGGAGAAACCTAAGAAGTATATTCAAGTTAAACATGTTTTCATTAGTTCTGCTTCTGTGATTGGAATTTGCTTGATTTCATTATCAATAAAAAGGTTGCCACTCATATCTGAGAAATCTGATAATTAAGTTAGAATCCACATAGCGCCTTCAGCCAGCGCATGCTCATTCATGTCCAACTCTGAGATGCCGTGGACTGTAGCCCACCAGGCTCCTCTGTCCTTGGAATTTTTCAGGCAAAAATACTGGAGTGGTTTGCCATTTTCTACTCCAGGGAATCACTTAGAAAGCAGTGTGTCTCTTTGTAAAAGCATGAGGAGAAAAATACTTGTATAGTATCTTTTTATTTACTTTACCATTGCTTTAATGCACTTTAAAATTTATCTACATTAATTGGGAACAAAGAAACAAAAATAGACATTTCTTTGTTTTTCATAAATAACTACTCTCCATATTTGATAAAAATCTCAAACCATTATTTTAGCTTCCCACAAATATAATACATACAGATTTTTTTATCTGAAATAGTGTCAGCAAATTAAGTACCTTGAAACTAACATAACCACATACAACTGCTGTTCTACTGACTTCCAGGAACAAAACAAAAAACTTTTTATCAAGATGCTCTGAGTTTCCTTTTGTTAGTGTTAAGAGATTCAATATTATAATCATCTGCCAGTAATAATTTATAGATTTGAGTTGATTGTCTACAAATAAAATACCACTGGCATTGCTTTATGAGTTCTGGATTTGACATGACATCGACGATACCTCATGGGACAGGCAATACACATATGTGGAAATCAGAAAAAGTAGTGAATGCCCTGGGCTCGAACTACTGACTCGGTATGTGCCTCATCTGGCTCAGTAATAAATTCACCTGCACCAAACCCGTATCAAAAGTCACTAAATCTCCCATATATATAAATTATTTATATACACCCACAACACATACATACTATACATACAGTTTTTAACAACATGAAGTAATATTGTCTTCAAATGATGTACCACAGACATTATCCTGGCTGAAATAAATCCTGTAATTGTCATCAAGCTGCTAGAAGCTTTAGAGAGTTCTGAGTCGGGTTACTTAGTTACTTTCATCCTGCCTACCCTTCACCCTGCTTTCATGTCTTGGTAGCTTTTTCTTTCAGAACCACCCTCCTCAACCCAGGCAGATTTCTTTCCCAGGATCACTTGATTGGACTTTGGAGGCAAGAAAGGGCACGCAGAGGGAGCAGGCAATTCTCAGCCACTGTACCTCACACCTGCCTAGATTTGTGATGTTCTCTGTCCTGTTGGCCCCATTCGGTGATAGAAAGCAGTGATTCAAAGCTTTGTCCCTCCTGCCCCCGTTGGTCTTTCTGTAGAGCACAAAAGTGAAAGAAGCCTCTTTAGCAGGGGTGGCAGTTCATTAAAATATACAACTACGTTTCCTAGCTCTGGGGTTCCCATTCTGTACTTGAGACTGCAGGTCACGGATGCTGTTACCAAGGTTCGGTTGGGATCCATGAGGTTTTCTCCTGGCAGCCGGTGTCAGGATTAGTGCAGCCCTAGCCCAGGAGGAAAGGGCCTAATGAATACCAACTTGGAAACAGTGCTGCTGGCACATTATTTAAGCCTGTACATGCGCACAGTGACACACAGCACACACATGGGCCTGTCGTTGGAAGCAACGGCAAGAAAATATGACAAAGGTTTGCAAGGATAAACCAATAAGGCACCAAGAGAACTTTCTTCCAGTCAATTTAGACAGCTTCAAAATGTGAGGTTAATAATACAGAGTAAAAAGACTTCCTAAGGCTCTTGTCAGCTGATTCACTGATAGGTCACATATTAGTTCCTTCTAAATCTTCACCCTCCTATCTATGATGAGAGACGTTGCTTAAAATTGAACCACGAAAGGGAAAGCCCAAAAGCTGTATATGAGACTAAAGTGGGCCTTAAATCCTCACTAAAATCAGAGCTAGCTGTAAAGTTGCTAAACTACCTCACAACCTTTCATTTTATAATTGCTTTCATGAGTATGGATTGTCTGCCTAATGAAAATAAAGTCAGGAGAGAATTGAGTATGAGATGGAAACGGGGGGGGGGGGGTGGTGGAGGGGGTGAGCATAAATAGATGGGTTTCTCTGCCTGGGGAGGGGGAGGGGTGGTTGATGCAAGACTTCAGAAAGCAGGTGGGCTTAATCTTTGAGGGAAGGGAGAGCAGGGGTGAGAGAGACTGAAAACAGGCAACGCTAAGAACTGGGATGAACCTAAAAAACCTCCAGTGCATTACCTCTATTACTGCTTTTTGCCTTAGTATCCTTTTTCTTAGTAATGTCTTAAATTGTTTTTAAAGTAAATTCGTTGTTCTTTTTAGGTTTGGTATGTTGCCGAAATAAAAAAATAATTGTTTTAAAAATAAGAATTAAATCACTTCAACCACATCCTCTCACAACTTTTAGATAAATTCTGCATCATCTTTACACTCTTCCAAAAAAAAAAAAAGAAAAGGAACAACCCAAATTAGACACTATGTCTGAAGTCAGCAGAATAATCTATGTACTTTCTGGGAAGAGGTCAAGGTGATCAGAAAAGGTCCTCATTTGAAAAACAGGAGAGGAACTGGCCCTCAGGCAGGGTATCTATTTCAAGGTTCTAAGCAGCTGCAGAATAAGCAGACGAATTAGATGTGCAGAAAGTTCTGTAGCTCGGTGTACCAGGTTTTGTCAAATATGCTGAAATTTAATTTTGATTTAGATGAGTGCGTAAGAGCAGTGCATTTTTATAAACATGAATAGCCTTTGAAAGTTCATGAAAACTATTAACATCATGCTTCTTTCCACCAGCATAGTGCTTAAATCCACTGTGGAAAATACACACTTGTTTACTTAATATCCATAACATAAAAGCTGACCTGGGCTTAAATCTTATTTTTCCAACTTTGGTATAAATGAAGTGCAAATCGTTATACTTGTCATTTTCCTAGAGAGGCCTTCCCAAATTTTAATTGCATTTGCCATTTTAGCGTCTTAAATTTAGTCCCCAGTATTTTACCGGAAAATGCACTGTCACTCCCTTCCCCAACTATAGCCTCACACTCTTCTTGAATGAATGGTTAAACAGATTAGGAAAGCAAACAGCATTTTTAATAGTTAAGTGTGTGTGTGTAGTGTGTGTACGTGTGTATTCAACAATACGCCGGCTTTCATATATGAATGAGGGAATGGTTCAACAGATTAGAAAAGCAAACAGAATTCTCTAACAGTAAAGTGTGTGAGGGTGTGCTCACCAATATACAGGCTTTCTCAGAAGAGGAGGAAAAGAAAAATATATTGAGGTGGGGTGGGGAAAACGGCTTTCCTTTTGCTACACTGATTCACGTTTCAAAAGCTTAAGCAAGTGTATTATGGGTCTCATTTGTTGTCAGAGGCTGCAGAGAGCAGTGTCTCGCTGCTTTTGAAATATCTGGCTGTAATCTAGTCCAAAGTCCAGGGACAGTCATTTTCCCTCATTGCTGCCAATGTTTGTTCACAGGTAGCCAGCCTCCCTCCCACCCCACCCCCCTTTCAAGCACCTCATTCAAGGATGGGTGTGGTTTCTAATCACAGCTCTCCAGGAGAGGAGGAATAAGAAAAGCAAAAGGACTGTTTAACATGATAAAGGAGGTGGGATGGGGGTGGAGCAGATAAGAGAAGTGTTGGAAATTTACTTAATTACAGGAGGTATATCCAGTTTAGTCCTTAAATGTAAAAAGGAGCCCCCTTTAGCTCTATCACTAAGTACTTTCAGAAGAAGGAAGTGGGTTCATTTTTACCAAAATATAACACAAGTTTTTTTTTTTTTTTTAAAGTAAGATCACTGGAGTCTATTAAAAAGAACCACCCACTCCTCCAGCACAAAGCTGCCATCTTAACAGTCTGGAATTGAAGTTCAACCAATCGCCATCCCTTAGGTTAGCACTATTCCAAACATTTATTCTGGACACTTACAATGCTACCTCTAAGTCATTCAAGCAAAGCTGGCACCGTTAAGAATGAGAATGATTACAAGGACTACAGAAAAGAAACCCAAGCTTGCTAAACAAAGCTAGGACGCACACAGAAACTCTAAACACTTCCTAACCTCGTCACTTTCCGGAGGCGTAAACCCATTATGCTCCCCCTCCTCAGTATGACTTAGGGTGTCCCCAAAGTTAGGGAAAGGGCCAAGCAGCTCATCTTAAAGCATCTGGGACACTTTATGCAGTGGAAGGAGAAGTAAGCTGGAGAAGCCCACGGGAAACTTCCCGCTCACAGCAACCTAAACTTTCACTGTTCACATTATTTTCAAAGACACAAGTATAGGAAATACATTTTCCCAATTGAGACCACACAGTTCACAGAACCCTGAACCAAGTGGACCTTCATTATAATGCCAACCTCAGGATTGTAAAGCAACCCCCCCAAGCAAAGGTAAATTTTGTTGCCAAAATGCAACAAAGTTAAAAATTAAGAAAACGACATATAAATTAAAAACAGGGTTCCCCTCGAAAAGGCAGGAAGATAGAGCAGACGTTCAGCTGAGCCCCTCTAAGAAGTCCTGGGACAGGTGCCCCCCTGGAAACAGCCCCTTCCCCTCCTTTCCAAGTTGCCCCAGGAGGGGGCGTCAGCACCATGAAGGTAAAACGGAAGTGACCTTGGCAAAGCTACCAAACGAAAACAACCTAGCTCCCTCAACTCCCGCCCGGCTCCCGGTCCCTTGGCCGCCTCCTCCTACACGTGCGACAGGGACACCTGCTTGTGGTAGGCGGCGGCGGCGGCGGCGGGGCCGGGGGGCCCGGTCCTGCCCGTGAGCGCGGCGCTTGCCTCGGCGTAGTCCCCCGCGGCCGTGGCGCCGCCGCTCTTGTGGCCCCGCCGCGGACGGCAACAGCAGCGGCTGGTGAAGCGTCGCCACGACTCCACAGTCTTGCCGGACCAAATCCAGACGCCCGACGTGATGCCCACCACGAGGCACATAAAATACTTGAGCATGAGCACCCAGTACTCGGGCTTGGCGCGCGGCTGGCCGGAGTCCGGGCCCGGGCACGCGCACGTGAGCGCGGCCTCCCAGCTCTCGCGATAGTGCTGTTCGTACAGGTAGCAGGCCACCACGATGCTGGCGGGCACCGTGTAGAGCAGCGTGAAGATCCCGATGCGGATCATGAGCTTCTCCAGCTTGTCCGTCTTGGTGCCGCCCTGCTTGATGACGCTGCGGATGCGGAAGAGCGACACGAAGCCCGCCAGGAGGAAGAGCGTCCCCACCAGCAGGTAGAGCACCAGCGGGCCCAGCACGAAGCCGCGCAGCGAGTTCAGGTTCTGGTTCCCCACGTAGCAGATGCCGGCCACCGGGTCCCCGTCCACGGAGCTCAGGGCCAGCGCGGTGATGGACTTGACGCTGGGGATGAGCCACGCGGCCAGGTGGAAGTACTGCGCGTAGCCCGCGATGGCCTCGTTGCCCCACTTCATGCCGGCCGCCAAGAACCAGGTGAGCGACAGGATGACCCACCAGATGGAGCTGGCCATGCCGAAGAAGTAGACCAGCAGGAAGACGACAGTGCAGAGGGCAGGCCCCGTTGTCTCGTAGTGGATGTGGCTGTGCTCGCGGCTGCAGGCGACGCTGGCATGGCCCACCACCAGGCGCACCAGGAAGCCCAGCGACACGCAGAGGTAGCAGGCTGACAGGAAAATGATGGGGCGCTCCGGGTAGCGGAAGCGCTCCATGTCTATGAGGAAGGTGGCCACTGTGGTGGAGGTGGAGATGAAGCACAGCACAGACCACAGGCCGATCCAGAAGGTGGCGAACGTGCGCTCGTCGGGGCTGAAGGACGGCTGGTAGCAGGGCACCGCGCAGTTGGGTACCTGGCCCGTCCGCACCTTGTTGTAAAGAGGGTGTGACTCCTTCAGAATGGGCACGAAAGGCTCGCGGCACTTGCACACCGACGGGCCCCCGGCGGCGCAGTCGCTCCCCGAGGCCGGCGACCCCGGCAGGCCGGAGAGGGTGGGCTTGACCGGGAAGGGCCTGGGGGGAGCCGTGGTGGCCTCGCTGCGGTTGTAATCCATGCACAGGACCTCGGCGTCGCGACCCAGCACCGGGAGGCGGTCGCAGCTCATGCGTTCCGGCCAGGCAAAGCCGTACTGGCGCATGAGCGGCGAGCAGCCGGCCTTGGCGCGCTCGCACACCGAGCGGCAGGGCGGCAGCGGCTTGTGGTAGTCCGGCAGGCAGATGGGCGTGTACATGGAGCACAGGAAAAAACGCAGGTCCGGAGAGCAGTGGATCTCCACCAGCGGCCAAAACTGGTGCACCTCCAGGCCCGCCTCGTCCTGCGTGTCGTGGTTGAACTGGTTGGGCATGTGCGTCAGGTTGTAGCCGATGCCGCGGCACATGGGCACTGTGATCTCCTGGCACGCCGGGGCCTTGGAGGCGGCGGCCGCCCGGCCCGCCAGCTGCGCCAGGAGCAGCAGCAGCAGCGAAGGCGGAGCGGACGGGTCAGGCCGAGCCATAGCCCCCTCCCTCCCCGCGTCTCCCGCAGCCCGCGCGGGGCCAGCTCAGGCAGGAGGAAACCGGGAACGGAGCTTCCCTCTCCGCGGACTCGTGTGGCGCCGGGGCTGGCAACCTGTTGGTTTCTTTTTCAAGAAATCCGTCCAAAGACCAACTGTTTCGGGAGGACGCTGCCTCCGCAGGGAGCGCTCAGCTCTTCGCTGGACAGGGCTGGAGAGGGACGGTTAGGCTCCGATTCTGGGGAAAGTACTCTTTAAAAAAAAAAAAAGGTGGGGGAGAAGAAAAATGGCAACCACTCCCAATTAGAGGGGCGTCAACGGTACAATCCCGCAAGCGGTCTCCAAATCTCTAAGTTAACCTCTCTCCCTTCCCTCCCCTTCACCTCCTGGAACACAACTACAGACTCCCCGTCCCTCACCCTTCCTCCCTTTTCCGTGGGCCTACCGAGGTCATAGCGCTCAGCGCCCCCAGGAAAAGGGCTGAGGGATAGGGAAAAGAACGAGGGGAAGGCGCGGGCTCTCACCTCCGAGAATCCCGAGAGAAGCAGATAGTCCGTAACCAGCCTGGGTCCCCCGTCTCTGGGACACTCCGCGTTTCTCAGAGACGGACTGGCATCGGGAAAGTTTGGCGAGAGGCTGGGTATCCGAGGAAGCAGCACATGGCAGCAGGTGGGGGCATCTCAGAGAGGGGGTCGCCCCCTGAACGAGGTCGCCGCACACCGGTCACTCGCCCTCTCCTCCGCCGGGGTCCCCCGCATGATCCGGGCGGGGACAGGGCGGGGACAGGCCGTGCGTTCCACCAGGGTCCGGGAGCCGGACAGAGGGGCGAGTGCGCCTGGCTGCACTTGGGCGAGAGGAAGGCGACTGGCGGATCCCGCCGCCTCACAGCACCGCGAGCAGCCAGCGCTGGCCCTGCCGGGACTGCACGGTGCGCGCCCGCCGCCGCGTCCCGCCGGCCCGCCGCTCGCCTCCTCCCCTGCAGGGGGCTCCGCTCTCCAAGCGGACTCCTGGGGGCGGTGGCGGCGCTCCCGGGACGCGCCGGGCTCGGCTCCTCCCCCGCACTCTAACACCCTTTCGCCCACCTCCGCCCGGTATTGAACTGCACGCGGCGGCGGCGGCGGTGGCCACAGCAGAGTCACGGTCGCGGGCGGACTGGCCTCTCCCGCCCCGCCCGGGTCACCTGCTTCTAATGCCCGCCGGGAGACTCCGCCCTGGCCCCGCCCCTTCGCGCTGGGGCTCGGTTGGTGGGCCGCCCCGCCACACTCTCCGTGCGTCCCCGCCCACTGCCCCGCCGGTTCGGCCTCGCCCCAGGAGCCCTCGGGTCCAGCCCGGAGCGGGTAGCCGAGGGGCGCGGGCCAATCGCCGGCCGGGAAGCTATGGGGGGCGGGGCGAATGCTAATCACGCCTTATTGAGACCCTGAGCGGGAAACCCTGGCTAGAAGTCCCTCCAGAGTTCTCTGCTGATCCCCGCTTATGCGGGGCTCACTTTCCCGTAATGTTTTAGCTTATGAACGCTTGCTTCCAGGGCACTACCAGATCTCTTCTCAGCAGCTAAGTATCCTTACAGTCCAGCGCTTGTTTAAAAGACTGCTCAAAGAATCACTATTAACCGTGGCACCTGTCTCCGCTCTGCGCCGCCCTCACACCAGGTGAGCTCAGATTTAGAGAGGAACAAATGCTTACCGAGTCCCTACTGTGTCGGACAGCGCGTTAGTCATTCACATCTTAATACAGGATGTCTCAGATCTTTAAAATAATTCTATGAATCAGACACTCCTTACAGGTGAAGAAACAGTTTAGAAACTTGACCAAGGCAACCGAGCTAATGTTAATGCCCCCCAAGAAAACCACAACGTAGATAATCTTGTTCAGCACGGTATTCCGAGCGCCTGGCGCAGAGTAGGCGCTCAAATGGGAAACCCGGGATTCGAACCGAGATAGTTGGGCCGCGACATCCACAATTTTTACCACCTCTTTCCCCTCCCCCTCCGCCTCATATTCTACCGGTTATCTCCCAGGCTTTAACCTTTACTTTTGCATTTCGTAACCAAATCTTACTGTTGCAACAAGAAAGTGATTTTCTTTCCGTCTTTGGAAGACTCCAAACATGTTAGTCCTTTATCAGTTTATCGGGTTAAAAATCCAGGCAGTTCCGAAGCTGCCTGCGGAGAAAAGCAACACTGGCTCCGGGCAGTGTAATGGGCAGGGGCTGTACCCCCTACCCCCACCCCGCCAGCCCCTGTCGCTCCCCCGGGCTACGCCGCTCGCCGCCGGGGATCCGGGGCACACGGCGCAGCGGGAGCCCACGGGAAGACCTGCTGGGCGCCCCCAACCACTGGGACGCACTGTGGCGCTCTCCAGATGGGTTATTGTGCTGCAAGTTTTAAATGTCCTAAAAATGCCTCTTTTCTACGTGTTCTAATTAGGCTGGAAGACTGAGGTGTTTAGCATTCTTGAAATTCATTCACACGCTTACAAAGAGGGTTTGAATTGTTTCCCTTTCCCCAACCCCTTCCTTCTACTGGGAAGAAGGTGGAAAAAAAGGCAGGAGGGCCTGAGTTCTCAAAATACTCAGGACTAGACTAAAGGACCGAGACACACCGCGGCTGTTGTCGTTCTTGTGTTCTGGATCCCACTTACATAGACTGGGAACTAAATTGCAGAACAGTCCTCTCCTCCCTGCTTATCAACAAGACTTGTAATGAAGAATATGTGTGTTAATTCCAGCCTCAAAGTTAAATATCAATCGCTTCACAAACATCAAAACTATTAATAAATATGTTTAAAATGTATATTACTTATTTCATTCCCTGTGATTGTACCTGTGCTTGTATTTTGTTTGTTTGTTTGTTTGTTTTGGGGAACTACTTGGCAGTCAGTGTCGGCAAACATCCCAGGGGTGAAAGCAGTGGGAGTTTTCAGCTATGGAATAGCAATCAAAAAGAAAGGGAAACCCTCAGTGGAAAGTATGCAGAGATTGTGAACATGCCAAGAGAGGCTGCCTCATTCTGTGGCCTTTATGCAACGTGTGTATTATTGGGGATGGACAAGTGTTGGCTAATAATAAAAATTATTTGAAGTTGGAGAATGTTAATCACTCATGCTGGAATTTAGCCAGAATACATGTGTTATTTCACTTGGTTCTGACTCAAAGGATGTTATCTCCTGGTCTGTAAACTTTTCCCTTCTCAGTCAACAGGGAAATGTTGTTTTTGCTTGGAGATCTCTAATAATAGTATTGTAATAGTAATAACAGTGGGAAAACTTTGCCAAAAGAAAGTTATTTTGCATTGTATAGCTTTTCATGTCATTTGAATTTTTGCTTTTTCACCTATATTACCTCACTTTAAAGGCAGTTTAAAATATGCTGTTTAACATGAGTTAGATGCTACATAATTCATTTCAGTTATCTCATTTAATCCTCACAACAATCTGATGGAATTGGCACCGTAATGACTTGCTCGAAATTACATGTTTAGTCCATGGAAAGGGCAGAAATCTTGATTCTTCTCCTGAGTAATAGTTATTGTTTAATAAACTGGACAACACATCTTTATTTGTAAAGATGCAATTTTTAAGCAACTAGCACATTGCCATGCCTTTTCACCCATTAATTCACTTATCTGTCTTCAATCTAACCATCCATTCATCTATCCATCCATCCAAAAGCATCAAATTTTTGAGTTGAAGACACTACTGCTATGTTAAACATGTTACTCCGAAGTGAAATTTATGAGATTCAACTTAAATTATTGTCCCAGGTGTACTTATTAATTGATAAAAATACAGAGGGTCATGCTAAACATTCCATCTAGTAAGCTAAACATTCCATCTAGTAACACTCCAAAAGTTTTGAAGTTATCAGTGTTGGATTTTGTATTCAGGAAATAGTTACTGTGTTTCTAGTCTTAAGATTTTTGTTGATTATAACTGTGTAATTATTCTGGGGAGGCACTTGAGAGTTTAGTGCTATAGGGATGACTGGACGATGAGCCTCTGTTACTCTTCAATATCTTGATAATCCAGTGTGGAACAGTATGCTCTCCATAGGTGCCTTCCATAAATATTTGTGAAATAAATGGATGAGTGAATGGGAACTGAGAGTAACTTTTTAAACTTTAGCAAGTGGTATTGAATCCGTGAATAAAGCTTATATTATGCGCTGTCTCTGAGGTTGACCATGCCCTGTGAATGCAACACGCGTCCAGACCGTGGCTCTCCCTCTACTAGCTGTGCCACCTTGGACAAGTCACCTAACAGCACCAGATCCTCTTTCTTCATCTGTAAAGTGGAGTCACAAATAGTTATTTACCTCGTAGAGCTGTAAAGAGGAGTAAATGCATTTACATAGTAAAGGATTAGAACCATGCCTTGCACCTTGTAACGCTATGTAATTCTATTATTAGTTTCTACTGGCTTTATTGTATTTTTCTGTTTCTCTACTCTTCTTTGGGCTTCCCAGGTGGCGCTACTGGTAAAGAACCCACCTGCCAGTGCAGGAGACATAAGAGACGTGGGTTCGATCCCTGGGTCTGGAAAATCCCCTGGAGGAGGGCATGGCAACCCACTCCAGTATTCTTGCCTGGAGAATCCCATGGACAGAGGAGCCTAGCAGGCTCATAGGCCACAAAGAATCAGATATGACTGAAGTGACTTAGCACAGTACTCTTCTTTATTTTCTTTTTTGTGTCACTTTAATAATGGGAAAAAAGTTACAGCTTTTAGATGTACAGGCATACCTCAGAGATATTATGGGTTTGGTTCCAGACTACTGCAATAAAACAAATATCACAATAAACTGAATCACACAAATTCTTTGCTTTTCCAATAGTGTCTAAACTGATGTTTATACTATTCTCCAGTCTCTTAAGTGTGCAATAGCATTATGTCTAAAAAATGCACATACCTTAATTAAAAAATATTTTATCTCTAAAAAATACTAGCCATCATCTGACAACTCAGGGTTTTCACAAACCTTCAATTTGTAAGAAAAGCAATATCTG